TAAATTTAACCAAACTCTAATAACATGGCTAGTTATGTCCTCCAGACTTGCAATGATAAAACTCCACAATCCTTTGGAGCGCCTGACTCCACAGAAGCACAAATTCAGTCCTTTCTGACCTCCTCTGGCCTCCTATTCTCCACACATGCATCTCCTCTTGCTAATAAGAGTAATTATTTCTACTGTTCCCACCTGCAGCACTCTGAAGTCTTAGTTGTGTGTTGTCTTGTCTCATTCAGCCAAAGTCAGACACTCTAAGGGTACAATACCATCATAGTGCTTGCAGAGTTATGGAATTGTTTAATATCATTAAATGCACAAATCTACTCTCACATAACTATACTGGGTGTACCAAAGGATACAGCCAGTGTCAAGTGAAGATTAAAACATTAACATTAAATTATTTTAGTGTTATTCTGGTGTCGGTACAGCTTGGAAAACTTTTTCCCTAAATGCAGCTATTTTTACCATCTTTTCAGACTTCATTTCCAACTTTATCCTATGTTCTAATTTATTCCTCCTCCACTCTTCTCTCTCTGCTAGGTCTAAAATAACATTTGGAATTTCTGAAGTTACTGAACCTCTTTTTAAAAGGTATGTTTGCATTGCACAGATCTATTTTAAACCCACATATAGTGTTTACTACAGTATTTTCCCTCCTATACAACACCTGAACAGTAGAAATGGAGCCCATTACACAATAATTAGAATTGTGTATCAGAATTACATAATGAAAGAAAGAATGCATTCCAATCCTACTACTGGTGAAACACACAAATATTGTATGAACTACTAGCTTCCATTTGATTCATGTATACAACATTGGAGATGCTAACCAGAACAGTTTGAAATAGATCAGCAGTAGAATCTAAAAGTACTTACTCCCCCTACCTCCCACCCCATAGTTTTCTTGTATTTCTATTGAATAGCATTATGGTTCTTTTAAAAGAAAATGTTTTATGTTTTTTACCTCCCTATTTCCACTAAAGATGTAAGTGTTGCAAGATTCAACATATTTAGATAAAACTAGGACTATTTTGACAATCCACCCCAACCTCCACACTTTTCAATCATGTTCATGTTCCTCAGGAGCAGAAGACTGAGTTGGAATGAGAATTAGTGTTGTATATGATATGATACATTCAAATTCTTCTGCATTCTATGAAAGGGCAGGATTTCTTTTTAATATGAGAAACAAGGAAGACAAACCTGTTATATTTATATAAATGCATATAGACTCTTATTTTTATATCCCCCTCAGACAAAAAATACCTTAATTAAAAAACAGGTATGTGCACTTGAATAACCATACCACACATAACCATTAAGATAGCTATGAACCCACTTGTTAAATTTTCTCACTCAGCCTTTCCAAATCACAACGAGGAATTAATCTTCTTTGTATTATGTCATCAAGATCCACCACCCTGTAATACATGCCTTCTCCCTGCACCTCCACATACAATATTTAATCTTTCCATTCCACATGGTTACCATTAAGAAATTACAATTTTCTAACTGGAGTGATGAACTGGTGTTTTGTTGGAGGTGGTGTTGATTTTTAGTTGCTGGTTATGTTTTGTTATGCTGTGTTGGATTTGGATGTGTTGCATGTTCACGGTGGGGATTAAGTTGTTTATCATTTTAGGAAGCTGGTATTGTAATGTTTAGAGTAGTGCTATTTAAGTGATACTGTAAGTAAGAATAGTGTGTTAAGATTTTTTCAACAGTTAAAATGTTTGTGGTTGGCGTTAAAGAAGTGTG